TGCATTTGATACACACCTCTAAATGTAAAAAACACATTTTGTAATACCAGACTGCTCCCTTCGTTAGTCTGGCATATGCAACAGTTCTTTGGTAAGACACATCTACACCGCCCAGAAAGGTGTTATAGAGGCCAATTAGACCTGGTTGAGGGAATTCTTTCACTGCCTTTTCTTTCAAGCCACAAATCTCTCTTGGCAAGTCTACCCTGTTGGACCTAACTGTACCACAGGCAAGGGTTTTCCTTTCGTCCAACTCTTCAAACAATGCTACAGAGGTATAGTAATTGTCCATAAGGCACAGAATCCTTTCTCTAGCTAAGGTTGTATCACAGACATAAATGCCTTCCTTCCTAAATCTCTCTGAACTTCATTATTTTCTTTGCCGATATAAATCTTGCTGTTTAAGACATGACCACTACTTGATTTGGCAAGAGTGAAAGCCTTTATTCCAAATCTGCCTGGTTTTATAGGAATAAACTGCCTAAAGGGAATTTTGCCTTTGAACTTGATTAAAGTCTCATCTATGGCAGGTTGCCGCTCAGGTGTGTACACTCTCTGAAACCTGGCTATAACTAAATCTAGGAAAAGCTGAATTTTGTACAGCTTGTTGTAATCTGCAGAGTCATGCAGGGGAGCACAGCTGTTGTCAGCAAAGTGGAGGTAGCGTAAGATGGGAAGAAATGAGTACTTAGAACAGGATCAGTACTCCAGTACTCCACAAATCAGTTTGACAAACTAATAAGACCCATACCTCTTGTGTGAAAAAGAGATAAAAAAATTCCAAGCACGATTTCAGGTTTCTTGCATTGACATTTATTCCTGTTTCTTCTCGAAAGTCAATATCTACTCTTTGCCTTCTACATTCTTTTTTTTTTTTTTGCTCAGAATGTCTCGGTTTTTTCTTGGTATCTGGGCCATAGAATTATTTTTATTTCAGTGCATCTCCTCTGTATCCTGCCATTCTTTCAGCACCTTTGTTCCTTAAACTCCTTTTTTTGTCTAACCATAAAGGTAAATACTTTAAAACCTAATAAGTGTAGAGGAAACTGGGTATAAAGAGTGCTTTTGGTGCAAGTGTCATGAGACAAACTGTCAATCAATTTAGGAGACCCAAAAAAGGTCAATGATAACTCTAGGTAATCCAGGAAAAAAATTTCAAGCACTCAAAAGCATGAGTATCAATGTTGCGTTTGTGACAAACTCTGGTATATAATTCCTAATAGCTTCTTGAATGGTCAAGTAGAGTAAGTACTACCAAATTTGACACTACCCACCCACCTTTGGGTGTATGCATTCTTAAATCATTCAAGAAAGCCTCCAAGAGCAATGAAATTTATTTCAATTCCCTTGCATCACTTTTTTAAGCAACGCTGTGGGTGGTTGGTGTATGAATATTTTAGAGACAGTTGTTGCTGATAGAATATTTCTATTTTAACTATGTGTAACGATAGGTTTGACATGGAAATTAGCCCGTGACAAATTACATGTTGCACTTTGTTCAGTGCGTAGTAAAAATTACAAACTTGGCAGCTTAAATTACGTCTCGTATACTTTTCTACGTAACACATGAAAATTTTCCTAAATGTCATGAAAAGGTCAAATAAAATCTTTGAGATTTGTATCTAATAACTTCTCTGTCTACAAAAGCATGTTGTTTCCTATATTGTTGTGTCCTCATCTTTCTGCACTTTAAGCTGAAATTTCTCATGGTAACCTGCACCCAACGTCTATTTTTTAATCAATTTTCTTCCATCCCACCCCTTTCGTGATGGAAGGTAAACTGCTCTTTTGTAGTTGTTTCCCATATCACATGGTGCAGGCATTAATTTTTATTCTGGTGGAGGCATTCCTCACATCCTGTCAAAAAGAACATTTAATATGCCAAATACAGGTAGCCCAACCTTTACGGCCACTGGAGGCAAAAGATACTAGATTGGTTGGTGAAGCGACAAAAAAGCTTTCTAGAATACGTACAATGTTGATATACTCACAATTCTGTAAGGCGTTATCCTGCTTAAGACGCGATATTTTCCAGTCCTTGCACAAAGGCAGAAAACACACTTTTCGAATGAAGCACAGTCCTTTCAACCTGATCTCAGATTCCCTACTGCTGCTTTCTTAATCTAACTCACGTATATGAACTAATCTTGACAGCTCATGATATCTTAGGTAAAAAAAAATTGCTTTATCTTAAATAAGCAAAAAATGCTTGATTAAAAAACACCTGTCAGCAAAGTGCAAAACAGCATCATCTTGCCGACTGAGTGAGCTTTAATTTTTCTTTCCTCTTTTTCCATTTTGTCCTTGGCTTTCCCCATCTATGAGGTTGTACAGAATCAGTTCACCCAGTTTTCCTCCTGCCTCTTCCGAAAACTGCAGCCAAGTTCCCACTGGGCAAATGATCAGGTGCTAAGACTGTTTGTGAGCTGTGAAACTAGTAACAGTATACTTATAAGTATCATGACATTGGCGTTAAGAATGTGTTCCAATTTTATGATTAAGGTGTCATTTGCGCAAAAAGAAAAAAAGGGAGAAAGAAGCTGAAGAAATACTTAAATGATAGGTTCATTATAAAGACTTATGTTTGGTGCATTCTTCCATGTTAGTTGATGAGTGTAACTGGGTAACGCTGGAGCTCTCAGCCAATCAAATGAGGGTAAGCCTTCCCTTCAAGACCTTAATGCTGTTTTCAACATTAAAAATTTTGATAGGTTTTTTTTTAGTTGTCTTACAGCAATATTGCAATGCTGGGGTGAAAAAGATGCTTTAAACATTTTATTTACATTTATACGCATTATTTAGTGGAGCAAGAGGAGTGTTTAGGAAGCTAAACTTGAAATCTGATGGTCGTAGGTTGGAGCCCCCAACCATGGTAGACAAACTCATTGACTGCGCTCTGCATATTGTTTTAGGCTGGTACATAGACTTCCTTCCTGAAACTTTTTAATTAGGGATCTAATGAAGGGCAAAAGGTAACTAGTTTATCATTAGGTGTATCATTAGGTTCAGGGATGTTAAAGTTGTCATTGAAATGCAGAAATTTAAAGGTTGTCTTGATTCAGCATTTACCATCTGCTGCTGCCACCAACACTGTGCATCTTTTCCCAGTAGGACAGAACCTTTCCTGTTTAGACAGATTTTGTTGTTTGACTCTGGTTGACTACGGCTGTAATGGTCTGCTTCATTGTGTAAATGGCTAATCCAACTTCTCTTTTCAGTTGGATATGACTTTTAGAATATTTGATGCATTGCCAGGTCATAACGTTAACAATTATTTAGGTTTGTCATCAGTAAAGTTTTCCTTTCGTCATTGCTCATAACATAACAGCTTGTAAATATGATAAATAGTTCAAAAGTAACAAAATTGGAGAATCGCTTCTTAATTTTTGTTCACCAGAAATTCTGAAAATCATGACATTTGAAACTAACATTGTTGAACTCAAAAAGTTTCTATGTGCAAATGAAATTCGGTCAGAAATGTTGAAATACACTTTGAAAATATCTTGGTCTCTCATTACTGCCAAGAAATGCGTTCAGTGTGCCATTTTTTTCCCAGCAAATTCCTGCCTGTTTGTTGAGACACAGAGGAGTGTGGTTGCAGGTCACAGACACAATAAGTGACTTGTATCGGAAGTTCTTTCTGAGGTTTTCAATTGAAGCCTTTCCTTCTTCCAAGCTTTCCTTGACTGTTTGATAACAGAAAAGTTTTTGATCAGTTGATCAGAAAGATCAACCTCTCCAGATATTTTCAAATCAAATTGTTATTCCCCTGGTTTGTTTCCTTTGCCCTATATATTCTTTGTTTCTTTTTTGCTCAGATTGTCTCTGTTTTTCTTGGTATCTGTGTTTTAGAATTCTCTTTATTTCAGCACATCCCTTTTGTAACCTGCAATTCTTTCAACAGCTTTGTTCCTTAAACTCCTTTTTTGTCAAATGGGAAAGATAAATAATATAAAACTTAATAAGCTCAGAGGTTATTGAGTATAAAGAGTGCTTTTGGTGCAAGTGTCATGGGACAAACAGTCAATCAATGAAGGAGACCCAAAAAGAGTCAATGATAACTCTAAGTAATCCAGGAAAACAATTTCAAGCACCTGGAAACATGAGTTTCAAAGTTGTGTTTGTGACAAACTCTGATATACAATTCCCAATAGCTTCTTGAATGGTCAAGCAGAGTAATTACTTCCAAATTTGACACTTCCCACCCTCCTTTGGGTGTATGTGTTCCTCAAGTCATTCAAGAAAGCCCTCAAGAGCAATGAAATTTATTTCAAGTCGCTTGCCTTACTTTTAATCCATACTGTGGAAGGCTGGTTTATTGATATTCAAGAGGTATATTTGTTGATAGTGACAAATACTTTTTCTATTTTAACTGTGTGATAACCATAATGTTAACATAGAAATTGGCCCCCTTACAAATTACAGGTTGCACTTTGTTCAGTGTGTATCAAAAATTAGAAACTTCTCTTGGCAGCTTAAATTACCTTTTTTATATTTTTCTTAATAACACTCATGAAAATTCTCTTAAATGTAACCAAAAAAGGCCCAATAAAAATCTTTGAGATTTGTACCTAATAACTTCTCTGTCTACAAAAGCATGTTGGTTTTTGCATTTTTGTGTCCTCATCTTCTTTCTATGTTTTTTGGCTTAAACTTTTTTTGGTAACCTGAGCTCCACATCTATATTTTGATCAATTTTCTGCCATCCCACCTGTTGGATGAACTTACATATGGAAGGTGAACTGCTCCTTTGGAGTCATTTCCCATATCACATGATGCAGGCATTCACTATTATTCTGGTCATGGCAAAAAATACTTTCCCATAATTGACCAAATACAGGTTGCACAACTTTTACGATTACTGGATTGGTGCATGGTTTGTCTTTTGGCCAGATCCCTGTTGTTACTGCACCAAGATTCCTTTTCCCGAGAGCAGTCTGATGAGTGCTTGAATGTTTCAGAATGGTATGGGTTGCCCTGGACATTGCAGCAGTTTTAACTTAGTTTTCACGGATAGCTATTCCACAGAAATTCTGAAATGCATCAATGCTATCTTGTGTTTGTCTACCAACCACTCCTAAAACTGTATTATTAAACATATTAAACAATATGCCAATAAATTCATCAGGCAGTTATGACAGTTAGCAATAAATTTAGACTAGCACACATGATATATGAGATCCTCCCATGTAACTCATGGGAAAAGACAGCTTGATGTAGTTGCTTAAAAAGAAAAATATAAGGAAAACAAAAGGGATAACAAAAAAAAAAAACTCCTGAGGAGGAAGAAGACACGTAATCTCAAAAGGCCATAGCAAAGGTCTGCAAGAAGGTCGGAGAGATCTTTCTATGAGGACTTGTTCCAAGATATGGGAAGGATGGATTATGCACTATCCTGCATCTTAAACCGAGAGGTCTTTGTCACTTTTTGCATTTACAAGCATATATGTAGTGCATTACTCTCTCTAGCCTTTGGCAAGTCCTTGTTGGGAAACACGCTGTTAACACAATGAATCACTTTGCCCAATCTGAGAGGTGGGCCTCCCATTGCTAGAGCTGTTCTTAGTGACAATGTGGATTATATTTTTGAAATTCATAAACTGTAATCACCATTATTAGGATGCCAGTTAAAATCGAAAGACTTAAACAGCATGAGGCTGCTTTGAATCGACAAGGGTGTGATCAGGATCTTCTGCTAGGGGGTCCCTCTGCTATCCTTTTGTTAATAATTGGAGGAAGAGCACCTTTCTAGAATGTTTTGTTATCAGAAATTGTCAATTTTTGCAATGAAAATTGGTGGGCTTATTTGAGGATTGATTTTGGTAAAGATGTGATGTGCAGGATAACAGTAGTGGTGTATTTTTTTACTCTTTCACCCTCCTGCCACGTGCAGAACTCCAGCCAACTCTCAGCTGGGCAAATACTTCAGTGCCAAGACTGTATGAGGGCTGTGAAACAAAGTTATTCTATTCAGTATATTGACATAAGTATTGTTCTCTCTCTTTGCCTCCCGTCACTTGCAGAACTCCATCCAATGGCTTTTCAATGAAATCGTTCATTGCCATCCATACGCCAAAAAATGCTCGAAGCTTACTTCACGGACCCCTGTTTTCCACAAGGGTCCGTGGAGTTCTGTGCTGCCGCAAATTTTTGCTTTGCTTCTCAGCGGCATTCCTGTTGGTTCATGTGTTAATGTTGACAAGAATTTCTTCATTCAAAAACAAACCAAAATTCTTGGCTGGGTTCTTCCCTGTGTTATTTCTAGAAGGGCCAGCATTTGCCGCATTAAATGATGTAAAATGTTGGCAGTTGTCGTCAGCTTTTCGCAACCCTTGACGCTGAATTTCAGCTGGAATTTTTTTTATTAAGGAATTCTTGAAATCGTTGTCGTCCTCGTCACTTTCACCAAAAAATATCATCCAAATCTAGCTCAGATTTGCTGCCAGAGAGACTAACAGAATTGTCTGAATTGGAAGACACAACTACAAAAACTGCAATAACAAACTACGCAACAAAAAGGTACCTTTGAAATTCGGACTTCGATGGGCAATGTTTTGGAACATTTGTCTGAAACCACATGGTAGAAATCCGTCTGATACAATCTTCTATGGGTTTACTATATTGAGAAATACATGTAATCCCCCTTTAAGGGTTTCTATTCTATTTTGAGCTTGACATGAATGAGTGGTGGGGGTATTGTTTGAGAAGATCCTGGAAGTACTTAAATAACTCTCCTGGTGATGTCTTCTGTGCCACTAAAGCAATCTTCTTCCTTTCTTGACCATTGGACAGAAATTTCCTCATTCCCACATATTTGTAGCACTTCCAAGTCACTTCTGAAATTGCTTTAGGGTGGAGGCCAAATTTACTCACTTGTTGCATTCTCTGTTGAGGCATTTGAGCTTGTGGTGGCTGCAGCCTTCTGGCATGGCGTAAAGGGTGAGGTTGACTGCCTCTGTTAGGGTTTGAGGAAGCATTGGATTAGAACCAGTTCTCCGCAAGAATGCCTAAATTACATTTCAGTCTTTAAACACCATCTGAGTTTGTACTTGCTTCCTACAGAGGCAAGATCTTCTGTCCTTTTCCTTTACAGACTGCACAAAAATTATTTTGAGACTCTCAAACTTTCGATGTTTAATCTTTATTTCCGGATGTTGTGCCGTGAAGTCTAAAAAATACCTCTGTTTCCATTTTTTCAAGCGTGTGCTTTACATGTTCGATGTGCTGCTTCTTTCCACTTCTCTTTCGGATGACATCTTTTTTGCAAATCTCTAAACGTCTTGATTGTCGTACAGGTGGCATCTTTAAAAAAAGACAAATTGTTACCATCAAAGTCTTGATTGGAATCACACTGCAAGGTAGCATTTCATTTGTTTCTGAGGCATGGGGTGGGCGAACCTCGGACAAGTTTTTGACAGAAAACTGTGGTATCTTGAGCAAGTTGGTTCCTGGGGACATGATGATGGCTGATCGAGGCTTCACCATACATGAGAGTATTGCATTCAAGAGGGCAAAGTTGGTAGTTCCAGCTTTTACCAAAGGCAAGGAGCAACTTGACCCAGTTGATGTTGAAACCACAAGAGCAATTGCCAATGTTCGTATCCATGTGGAAAGAGTCATTGATCTCTTGCGCAGCAAGTAATCCTCATGGATCTCTTGAAGATAAAATCCCAGCTATTGACCGTGTCATAAAGGTTTGCTCTGCTCTGGTTAATTTATGTCCTGTTATAGTACCATTTGACTAGTCTATTTCAGTTATGCATTAGTCTGTGGAATCCCCCTTCGCTGACTACCCAAGGAATATGGGGCATTACTGGGGATAAAGCAGGGTATTAAATGGAGAGTAGATGACTTACTTGATTACTTATAAGAGAGTTAGACTAGCAGAAATGCTGCCTTGGAAAGGGAATTGCCAGGCATTAGTACAATATAAGACACTTTTTTTTAAAATCTAATCCCCCACTATTCCCAGGGTTGTTAAGGGCTGGAGATTCCACTGACTAGTGCATTATTTTCAGACGGTGATGACCAATCAAATTTTATTTTAAAAAAACAATGCATTCAGTCTTTGTCATAGTCTCCCTTGATGAGCATCATACTCTTTGAGTTAATGCTGAGGAAAATATGTTTGAATAAATTTCAGGAAACAATTCTTTGGATCATCTGAGCTTATCAGTGATTAGCTAGAAAAAATGGCATTTCCACAAAAGTACCTTCCATAAAAATTGAAATGCATTGTTTTCATTATACACTTAAAAATGGTTCAAGTTCGAGGGGGCAAATGGATTCTTAGAGGGTTTTCTAGGTTTTTATTAAAAACAAAAAAAAAACAAGAAAAAAAGGAAAAATTAATATGTTGAGAATACATGATATTTAATGAGGTAATTAAGATAAGTTGTTACAAGTTCAGCATCTGTCTGGGTGGTGACCCATATCTTAATTTGCTCTGAGTACTACAAATTTCTAAAAATACACACATAGATCTGCACATCAAGCAGCAAGCAATGCTAACGGGAACAATTAGGATTTTTTTCCTGGTATAGCCTCCATTCATGTTTTTCAACAGAGCTTTAATTTATTGTGTTAAAAACATAGCACAGTACTGGTAAGGTTCATTAACGAGTGCTTCTGTCAAATATGTTCCAATATGCAATGTACTTATTATTTAATTATCATTTATTTTTTCTACTTATACTGCTTCATTATTGCAGTCCTAATGTACTTCATGACAGCATTGTTAATCAAATGCCACTGAATTAGTTTCAATTTAAGAAACTGAAATTTGAATATAAATATTACTAATATGAACAATATCTTCATTGATTCAAGTATTACAGATTGGTGTCATGTTGGAAATGCTGAGTAATTCCTTCGACATGGAAAACATTTATTTCAGACAAATTGCCCATCATTTAGTATGAAACAAGAACTGAACAGTTAACCATTTTACCATTGTTACATCCCTGATGGTGGATAAACTTAATCATTGGTGCGGTACTCTCCATTTATATTTTGATAATAATAAACTATAACAAATAAATAGATAAATACTATAACTCTTGTGGCTTATTTAGTGTCAATACCAGTTTATAATAGTAGCTTATTTCTCAAGAAATGGGCTAATCACATTGAGATAAATGTGGGCGCATCTGTGGTACATCAAACTTGGCTATACCAGGGTTTAGACCATACACAATACATGTTGCAAATGCAATAGAAAACACACCGCAATCACTGCCATTCCTTTGTTGCTGGACAGGTACGATGTTTATCCCTACAAATTTGTCTGCCATTAGATCTGTCACCTGTTCTTCTACTTCATCTACAATGATGTCATGGAATAAACTGTCATACAAGTTTACTATGCCAGGTAAACAGCCTACAGAACTAGTGCATACCTAATGATGGTTACCTGTGTGTAGAATTTGCACAAATTCACTTGTTACAACATCAAGGTTCCTTACTGGTCCCAGTGTAGTTCTTTGAAAACCCTCAAACAGTGGATTTACCTGTTTCAGTAAAATTTTGGCTTGTTGAATGATGGTGCAGTCTAACCATCCAGTTGGGGATTCAATGCTATCATAGTAAGCCTGAGTTAAATTCCCCAAACAAGCTGTTTTATCAATGTTTCCTCTAGTAACATTGGTTATCTCTACATCATCATCACTGTCAGATTGATCATCAGATAGTTCATTGTCACTGTTATCTATGTCAGATAGATCATGAACATTGTTATCATCATCACTACAAGTAAAATCTTGTGGGCTCGAAGAAGTACAAGTGGTAGATTGATTTAAAGAATTTGATTTAGAACTGTGGCATTCAGTTAATGGTGTGGTGATGGGTTGAGATGCTTTGGTTGTGCTAATGCTTATATCATTTTCTTTGTGGGGCTTTCCTTTGCAGCTGTTACAAATCCATGTGCTCTTGCTGTTGTTGGGTATCCTTTTACAGTTAAGGCAGCCTAAATGAAAAAATTTTCCATTTAGACAGTCTTTACTGTGACATTCAAGAAGTCTATCACCTGACTTTGGCTTGGAATTGCAAATACTGGCTCCGTGCTTAGTCCAAACGCTAACTGGGCGATGAGAAACTTGAGTTTTCGTAGCTTGTGCGATAGAACATGGCTAACTTAAACCCTACCATGCACTGAATAGCCTCTTAAATTGTAGAAGAACGGGGTATTTCGAGTTTGTTCGAAAGCCCCAGTGAGAAAGGCAATTAAAAAGTGCCGCCTTTCGTAACGTGGCCGCCATATTGGGCGCTAATTTATATATAAAAAACATATGCCTCAACAGCAGATGCCTCATGTTTCTTGCCATGGGTGACAGCTTTTGAGGTGACTTTGAACAAATGGGGGTAGCAGAGAGACTTTATCAAAAACTGCGTAGGATTACTGTGTGTCACAGACCAACTGACTGAAGCACCAATACAGCCAGCTCTGTGTCGGTAGAAGAGATTCCCCTTGGATTGCTTCCTTGTGTCGGCTTCAATGGCATCTAGTTCACTATCATTAAGGTTTAATTTGACCTCCAAGCATTTTTTCAGCAGCTCTGGATAGTTCAGGTTTAGATAACTAGGGTCGTATAAGTCTGATATTGTAACAACATGTTGGCTTCTGGATATAAACCTATCACAATAAGGTTTAAAGAGACTTAGGATGACTGGTTTTATATCCAAACCATTCAACTTTTTTTCAACTGAGCTTCCATTTCATCCTCATTGGGTGATCTTAACACGTTGGAAGTCTTGCTATGTCTTGCTTGAGCACTTGTTCGGGACTGTTTCTCCCCACAAAGTCATCTATCTTGAGATCCAGCTCAGCTTTCAGTTTCTTTGCTGATTTAAAATTGATATCCCGAGCTCTAGCGTACGGAACTTCATTCACATAGGTCGGCAAAAGCCACGTGCATTTGACTTCGGTGCATGCTAGTTTCCTGTTGATTCTTGTCCATGTCTCAATATAAAAAGCACGCTCGCAACATGGGAACACTTTTCTGCTAATCTTGCTTTACATCCCATGCAGTGGGCCGAAATAACAGTTCCTTCCTCACTCGAAATAATCCAAATGGGGATCGGAGGGTCATTCATACGCTGGGAATGTCGCACCTTTGCTATGACCACGTACTTTCCGGCGATAACCTTCCCTTGTACACTTGCGATAAAGCCAGAAACCATCTGGTTATATGCCTCCAAACTCTTGAAGGCCTTGAACTGCTTAGCAGTATAAAAGCTGGTATCCAAAACCAAATAGGATAGCAGATCCGTAGCTTCGATAGGAGGCAAACATTCCGGATCCAACTTTGCATTCCACAGCGTAGCCGGGTCAATACCAAAGAGTGAAATTTTCTCAATATAACGACGTTTTACGCGACTTTCTAGCTTTTTAGAGTACTCCGATGACAGAGGAACAAGAGAGCAATCTTCTTCGTCAGTTTTTTCTAGTTTTTCTTGAGCAGATTCGTGAGATTCCTCAATATCACTTTCAGACATACTGAAAACCTTAATCAAACATTGCAAGTTGATGTATGCAAATTAGCCGCGTGTACAACAATATGGCCGCTAACGAAATAAAATTACCCTATGACGTAACGTGAAAACCGAGAATAAAAAACAATAGCTTTACTTTAAAAACTTTTGTTTAGTGCATTCTTCGATGTTAGTTGTTCGATGTAACTGGTTAATGCTGAAGCTCTCAGCCAATCAGATGAGGGTTAATCTCCATTTTGAGACCATAATGCTGTTTTAACATCGGAATTTTCAATTGGTTTTTTTCAGTTTTCTTGTCAGGTCATCAGGAAGAGATGAAAAACCCAGTTGCTTGCAGTGTGCCAAATAGTACAGGAGGGCAATCACATGATTGCAGTGGAAATTAAAAAAAAAAAACTTAAAACTTTCAAACTTTTTTTTGGGGCATCTTGACCATAACTGTCCATTAACGCTCTCATTTTGATTCTGGGTTTGCTCCTGCAAACACCTTTTCAATAAATCGTCATTACTAAGCCTAAAGAAAATTGGCAACAGCTAATTAATTAAAACATAAGGAAAAGACGGTTGTCCTCTTTATATTCTTTGAGAGCCTTCCAAAATTTGCACCAGGAGCCTTCACCTTTGGGGCATAGCTTGTGCTGCTCTTCTAGGGTACATGAATCATCTTTTATCATGTGATGATAGATTGTCCATACACTGTTCTTCATTTGTGTAAATGACCTGTATTTTCGCGTATGGCTCTTCCATAATATTTCTGCATTCTGTCTACGAAATTGTCAGTTAGGGGACCCCTTCCATCAACCTTTCCTCCATCCGATATCTTAGGCCATCCATCTTTATATTTTTCTTGTAATTCCTAAGGGCAGTCCCAAATGTCTTCTGAACATGGCCAACACATTGTTCCTTAACCACTGGATATTTGTGTCCATAAAGTTCAAACATTTTTTACTTGACTCTGCCGAAACAGCTGCTGTCAACATCTCCCACAAAGGTAGAATATATCAGCTTCCTCTTCTCAATGCCATGATTGAAGTTGTTAACTGTTCCTGAGGACTTCATTTCTTCAGAGGAACCCACACTGTTTACTTCACAGTGGCTTGCATCTGACTCTTTCCAAGAAAGATAATCAGGTGATATTTTATCACTGTTCCTTGGATGAGCATTCCTTGCAAATGAGGGATTTCACCACACAGTCAATAATTTCGCCTCTCATTACTGAAACAGCAAACATTTCACCAATCTAAGAGCTGTGCCTTCTCTTCTGTCAAGTTCCATCTATTGAAACGGCAACTTTGTACACTGATTGGCCATCAATTTCTACAACACATTCTTCACTTTCGTGGAAAGCTAGTTGTCTTAGCCTTTCTGCTGCTGCACACATTAGTGTCTCAGCATTACTCACAGCTAATTTTTCAACTTGTTTCATGTGTTGAATATAGGCCTTCTTGTTAATTGGAGGTGGAAGTTGCAGCTCATATGGCAAAACACTCTGATAGTAGTTTAGCATCTTGTAGGTTAAAGCCATGAGCCTCCTCATGAACACAAATTTCTGCTGAACTACTTTGAGAATGAGTGATGACTGCCTCTTGTCGATCAAAGTCCTCCAAAGAATTGTTCATAAGTTTCAATTCTGACATATTTTTCGGCGCAGTAGGGTCTAGAAAGTTATCGTACTCATTTTGAGCCTTGGATGTGCTTAGTTGTGGCTCCATGTGTGATTCTATGATGGTGTTATTTCTGCCATTTTCCTCTGCTTCCCTTCACTCTTCCATTCGCCTTTGTCACGGTATCGCCATCTTGAAAATGACGTAATGCTTTTTGGCATGAAAACGAGGTCACGCGTGGTTCTTGACACACTGAACACTCGAGCGATCATGCGGTGTCACAGTGATATGTGTACCCCCGTGATATGTGTACCCCCGCACACATATCACTAGTGATATGTGTACCCCTGGTAGGGATACACAAAACACTGAAGCTTTGCACCCGGGCCTTTTAGAGCTTCAAAGAAAACATGGTGGCTACGAGGAACAAATTTTGTGGTTTTATATTTTAAAGTTTCCGATCCAAAATATAAACGGAAGAAGATCACAATGCAACTGAATAACAAGGTAAGAGGTGTTTTTATATTTCCAAAACCTTTAAAATAGTTACATGGATTTCAGTCGTTTTCGCCAGCATTTAATTTAAGTACCAACGATTAGTTCGCTCGAGCCACTGCTCGAAACTAGCGTTGTCCTGTCGTTTGCGACAACTTAAAAGTGTGTTTGCGCAATAAGTTGTTTTGGTGGATAAAGGTCTAGAACTTTACCGCGTTTGGAAACTATTTCGTGTTCACGTTCCGTAGTTCACATCAATCACTCACTATACATCAAAACCATTTGAATTCATTTTTAAACGGGGCTTCTATGTTGTTGATATTTTTTTTGGTTTGTTTGTTTTGTTTTGAAATCTATACGGCCCTGGACAACCAAGTCCTTATCATGGTAACCGAAGTCTTGGTTTTCCAGTATTTGCCAGTATGGACAGCCTGGATATTTTTCTGCACTGTTTTTGTTGTGTCTAATAAGTGCTCATAAAAACAACAGGCCAACTAATTTGAACTACATGCGAAAGATCAGGTAATTTTATTGATAAATCAACATGGTTGTATAGATTATGAAAATGATTGTTAACTGATAATATTAATCTACTAGTAAAGTGATATCCACTGCATGGTAAGCGATATCTACTTGCAATGTTTCAGTGTTCCTCAAATGTATATGTACTATCCAATAAATATTTCAGAGCAAACTTTTGTTCTACTTTATAAATGTCACATATTCTTGTAAAATAGCAGTAACACTACAAAAAAACTTAACATTGTTTCAAAGCCTAATAATGCTGATGAATTTGTGAACAAGCCACCTGTAAATCAATGGGCAAACTCTAAAACTGGGTTTGTTACAGAAGTGAAACCTATCAGACAAAAAAAAAATATCAACAAACTCCAAGAAGGGAAGTACCCTCTGGAAAAAAGGCATTTATGGATAGGCTTGTTAACAATGACTAACAAATGGTGATTTTTTTTTCTTTTTCAAATTGTGATACTTTTTAATGATTTATTCCATGGTATTGATTTCATCTGTAAAACTCTTGTATTTTATGTAGTTGACAATTAGCACCATGGCTTCATTGAATTACCATTGCCAAAATCATTTACTTTTCCTTTTTTCTTGTGCTAGTACTTTAGCCTGAGTTGTCATTGAAGTGTTTTGGCCTGACATTTTGTTGAGTGGTGAGACTTTTTCAGTTTTATGAGGTAGGGGGTTTAATAGTCTTCAGAGGGTCATGCCAGAACAGTTGGTTTGAAAGTGGAGCCAACCAAATAAAAATGGTCAGTTTGGAGAGGAAGGGTTTAACCCAAATAACTACTCTTAAGTGTCACACAATTATGGTAACAAGGGGTGGGGGCAGGGAAAAATTTTGATGAAAAGGGGAAGTCATCACATATTATAGTGACTATCTACCACCCCACCACATAAAAATTGACAGTCCCTAATATTTTCAATAACCATTTGCCTTAAAAAATAGATGTCTGTATCTAAGCAATTTGGCAGTTATTGCACTTCCATTGAAACCTTTTATACTTGAAAACTTTGTCAGGAATTTTTTGGCAAGCTTGATGGAACCACTTCTTGCAATTGGTGCATTCTGCCATCTGGTCTTTGGTTGGATTGTATGGGAGGCGGCAGTCACAGTACACTGGCATGGCAACAGTCTCTTCATAACCAATGCTTGATTTTTCCTCAAAGGGGAATATACCAATGTATCCATTTTTAAGGGAATCTAAGAGATGTGCCCTTATTGCCCGCCTGTTGAACTTAAGTGATGTGGGGTCCATATTATGGCAGAGTGCTGTGGCAAATGCAATCACAAAAACTCCACAGTCTGTCCCATTTGTTTGCTGGTCAACAGGAGGGACACAAATTTCAATAACATTGCTGTCTTGGTTGAAAAGAAGGGCACCAATCTGCTCTCTGGTGAATGGCGCAATTCCACTATAAAGACTGTCATAGAGTTTCACTTGGTTGTTGTGGCTGCATCCAATATTACTGACACAAACCCAGTGATTACCACCAGTGTGTAGCACTTGAATGAAGCTGTTCCGCATCACTGGAAACTGTTCTGCCTTCCCAATTGTTGGAGACAGCAGCCCCTCGATATAAGGAAATTGGCGATGCAACAGTTCTTGGGCCATTTGTATTTGAAGATCTGTAAGCATTGCATTTTTGCCAATTATGTCTACATCTTCTTGATTCAGTTTAAATGTAGGCCTTTGCATTTTAGCAATAGATGCTTCGTCCATCCTAGCCTGTTTCAAAAACTGAACTTCGTCTTCAGCTTCTTCGCTCCTTGCATTTTTTTTTTTCGGGCTTTTTTTTTTTTCAAGAACTTTCCTTTACTTCTTTGTTCTATTTTTGCAGGAATGCATCTGCCTCATGCTTTCCACCACTTTCTAGGAGATCCTCAGCCTGGTTGCGTGTAATTTGTAATTGCTGACAACATAGGGTAATTAGAGCCTCTGGTAAAAGTACCTCCATTAAGTACTTTTGACTGACCTTTGGGAAGTGCTTTGCTATTAGAGTTACCATGTGATATGTTTGATTTTTTCCTCAAAGTCCCCAAATGGCACATTGAACTTGAGATCTACCCTTTCGATCATCTCTTTATCCCTGTCTGATAATATTCTTCCATGGAAAATTTCATGTCGCCAGCTTTCCTTGGTGCCACTGAGTACTTCTGAAAGGTGATCTTTGATTACTTTGTCAAAGCAGGAAGCAATGTCCTTCTTTGAAATGTTCTGTATTTTTTTGTTTGGTTCAAAGGGCTGGTATTTTGCGGTTGCTGAGCCCCTGGCAGATTAGGTGGTTTTGGCTGCCTGGAAGGTGCTTGCTGATTAAGTGATGTTTGCTGTTTGGAAGGTGCTGGCTGATTAAGTGATGTTTGTTGTTTGGAAGGTGCTGGCTGATTAAGTGATGTTTGCTGTTTGGAAGGTGCTGGCTGATTAAGTGATGTTTGCTGTTTGGAAGGTGCTAGCTGATGAAGTGATGTTTGCTGTTTGGAAGGTGCTGGCTGATTAAGTGATGTTGGCTGGCTGGAAGGTGCTAGCTGATTAGGTGATTTTTGCTGGTTTAAAGGTGCTGGCTGATGAGGTGATGTTTGCTGTTTGGAAGGTGCAAGCTGATTAAGTGATTTTTGCTGGTTTAAAGGTGCTGGCTGATGAGGTGATGTTTGCTGTTTGGAAGGTGCTGGCTGATTAGGTGATGTTGGCTGGCTGGAAGGTGCTAGCTGATTAGGTGATGTTGGCTGGCTGGAAGGTGCTAGCTGATTAGGTGATGTTGGCTGGCTGGAAGGTGTAGGTTGATTTGGTTGTGTTGGCTGGCTAGAAGGTGCTGGCTGGTGATGTTCTTTTGGCTGCTTGGAAGGTGCTTGAAGTTTGGGGCACTTCGACCGCGGCATTGGTGTTGGCTGATTGGGTGGTACTTTTGGTTGGGGAACCTTTGTCCGTGGCATTGGTGTTGGCCGGTGGTGTGGTGCTGGCTGTTGGTGTGGTGTAGGCTGCTTGGATGGTGCTTGTTGGGATGACATTAACTGCTGTATTGTGGCCGTTTTGGTTGGCGATAGCTGCTGGGATTGTTTTGGCTGCTGCAATGGTGTTGCAGGCTGCATAGATGGTACTGGCTGCTGCGATGGCGCCTGTTGTTGATGTTGGAGTGCTGTCGCTGAATGCTGAGAAGAACAGTGAGGATGCTGCAATGGTGGTTGTGCTGTCTGCTGAGCTGTGGATTGAACCCTGTACGCTTTGAGGTCTTTCATGTTCACTATCCTTCTTAGTTTCTCGCCACTTTTTCCACGTAACCTGCAGGTTCCCTTTTGTAAGTCAACCTCTTCTATGGTGTATGGGCCAGTCCACTGGTCTTCCATTTTGTGCCCCTTTTTTTGTCTTTTGGAGCATATTGCGGCGTAGAACAGCATCACCCTTCTTCAATGTGCAGTCGAAGCCTCCTTTTCTTTTTAAGAACTGCTTCTTTTGCTTTTCTTGTGCAGCTTCTATGTTTCCCTGCACTCTTGGGAAAAGTGCATCTCTTGTGGCTGTCATTTGTTGCACATGCTCCTGGAGGACATCCTCTGAGTTTAATTCCCTTGCCAGTTTTTCAATTTCGCTGGGGTCGTTATCGACGTGTTTTACATACTTTTGGACTTCAAGAGGCAAACGTGGATGCCTACCATACATTAAATAGAATGGGCTGAACTTGGTGGTGTTTGATCTGTTGGTGTTAATTGCAAAAAGAGCACCATCCGTGTACTCGTCCCAATCCTGATCGTGGTCATCCGCAATCTTCCTAAGGGTACTAAACAAAAGTGACAAGTGCAGTAAATGGCTTGAACCCAGGGGTAACATGTGAAAGTGGAGGCTGATCGTCCGGGTGAGTGTGGTCCTGAGAAGGACTGTTGTCGTTGGTAGTGACTGACGTTTCGACAACCTGTGCGGAAGTCATCATCAGAGTCAAGTGAATGATTGTTGTCGGTAGAATGTTCTTATTCCAGTTCGTGGAAAATGATTGGCACCAACCATTTTATACGAACTGGAATAAGAACATTAGGTAGGTAGTAATTAGATGATGTATTACCTGCTCTTGTAATTCTGATAATATGTAATATTTAACATCTTTGCATTCGCTTCAGTCCGTAGTTTTAACACTGGAATCCCAAGCCATTACCGAATGGAAATAAACTTTGAAAGCACTAGCTTAGCTTAATGATATTTTAGGTAGCATGTCATGCCCTCTTTCATCTCACTGATAGGAGTTAAGAGTTATTTTTAGACAGAAAATGATTGCAACGCTCACTTCTTTATTGACTGGTTTGATCTCTCATCTAGGCCATTAGACTCCGGATGATATGCTGACGCGATCCTCTGGTGGACACCAAATGTTGTCATGAAGCGCTCGCACACCTGCAACAGAGACAATGAAGCAACGTCATGCAAGCCCCTACACAGATGTCTGTCAAAGGTTTCCGTTGTATAAAACGCTGACCTACCTGGTTAACGAATTCTCTACCCTGGTCTGAAATGATGTGAGCAGGGGCTCCATGGCGACAATATGCTTTGTAAAGGCCCTTTGCTACGCTTACGGCACTCTTGTCTGGCAGAGGAATTGCCTCTACATACTTGCTAAAGTAATCCGTCATTGTCAGAAGATAGCGGTTTCCTTGGGCAGAAACTTTGCGGCATCTATTAAATCAATACCGACTAGGTACCAAACTTTAGAAACCACCTTCACGGGATGCAGCACGTCGTAACTTTTGCTTTCACTGGTATTACGTTGACACCGGTCACAATTTCGAATCTGTTTGTGTAAGAGAAGGCCACACTTAGAGAAGCATTGAGAGAACATAGAGAAGCCTATGATTCTTTTATTACAACATCTATTGGAAGTAAAGAAAATTCATTGTTTTATAAATATTTTACCATTATTGTTGTTAAATGCCTTTTATTATATGGCTGTGTCTCACAAGTACTGGGAACTACAGAATTCACAAATTTGACTGACTATTTCACATGGCTGATCTCGCTGAAAGAATCATGCTCTTTACTTGAGCCCGCTTTTTGCAAAACCGCGACTTTTCAGGCCTCTTTTTTTTAAATAATTGCCACTGAAACGCTTAGTGTTAAGATGCATGAATTGTGACAGACCGTGATGGTATCAAATGTTATTCAACACCAATGCCTCTACGTCTATACATTTTATTAAACTTACCAATTCAACAGTATCCTTGTAGTAAGAGGGCCAGTAGTAGCGCTCCTTAATTTTTTTTGTATGGTGTTGTCCCAGCGTGGCCCGCAAAAGGTGAAGAGTGACACTCGTCGAAAACTCTTGTCTTTTCCTCCTCTTGAATGACCATGCGGTTAAAGGTTAATCCATCGTTACCACGGTCGACGTAGAAAAGCGAGCCTGATTGTACATCAAACGTGAACTGTTTCGAAAGTCTCCGTAACACTCTTTTTTCACGCTTGCTTGCGCCCTCTGGATACTCTTTATCTCTCAAATAATGAACCAGATTTGAATATTTTGTGGCATCCATCTTAATAATTCTCGTAAGATGCGAATTTCCCGCGAAAGAAAGGTCATAAGTATACAAGGTCCAACTTCCTAATTTGGGCATTGTTTAATAGAGGAATTTCCGGTGGGTAGAAGCGTTGCGTGAGAACAGTTAAATCAACGTAGCATCTACGCCTAATGGAATAATTTGTTGTATTTAAGAAAGGGTTCCTGGTTCTATAAATATGCGCCCATGGGTGCGGAATTGAAATATTGATTAGAAATTGTTTTTGGTAAAGTGTCTAGCCAAACAAAAGCGCTTACAGGCCAGGGATACCAATTTTACTGCGATCAACGTTCACTGATATGTGTATCCCAACATATCACAAACGTTTGCTTCCCACTGTGCCTATGAGTGCGATTTTTGAAATATTTTATTGATTAGAAATTGCACTGGGCTAGAGAGGCCAGGATACACACATCACTACTGAATCACCGTCCAGTGATATATATCAATAAACATCAGGGGATACACGTATCACAGAAAAGCGATCGCAGTGATTTTAGATCACACTTCTGTTAATTTTGACTCAATAATACACTTACAAGCCATACTTAGCCAGTATTTTGCTGGACAGATAAAAACGCTTGCTTTAGTAAGGGGATACAAATACTAACTACGATTGCCGTGATATGTGTATCCAAAGTGTATCCACAAGATATAATGGGGATACACATATCACTGAACGGCGATCGCAGTGATATGTCTATCCCCCCGAGTAACTCGCTGTCGTCTGTCAATTTGGAATCAATAATACACTTACTAGCCATATATAAGCTTAGGTAGTAATTTGCTGGACAGACAAAAGCGCTTGCTTTTACCAAGGGATACACATATTGACAGCGATTGCCGCGATATGCGTATCCACATTGTATCCCCAAGATGTATTGGGGATACACATATCACTGAACGGCGATCGCAGTGATATGTGTATCCCCTGACTAACTCGCTGTCGTCTGTCAATTTGGAATCAATAATACACTTACTAGCCATATATAAGCTTAGCTAGTAATTTGCTGGACAGACAAAAGCGCTTGCTTTACCAAGGGATACACATATTGACTGCGATTGCCGCGATATGCGTATCCACATTCTATCCCCAAGATGTATTGGGGATACACATATCACTGAACGGCGATCGCAGTGATATGTGTATAAAAATTGCTGTCAGTTGGTGAAATATTTCATGCACTTACGTACTAGCCAGTAAAGGAGCTAGTAGCAAGTAATTTCAGTGCTAGACAGGCGACAAAGCCGATACGATTGTAGTCACCAGTGATATGTGAATCCCTAAGATATATTTTTGTTTAAATGACAATTTCGATTCCTTTATATTTCCAATAGATTGTTTGATGTTTGCTACTGGCCCATAAGAACTGTCGGACTCATGAGTCGTGTCTTTACAGTTCTGATTGTGGAAGATGGTTCAGTGAACGATTTGCGTCCATTAACACAAGTTAGCCGTAATTATTTATTTTTTGGAGGGGAGGGGGGTGGGGGATACACATATCACTGGCCGCCATCTTGGAGGGGGTACACATATCACTAGTGATATGTGTGCGGGGGTACACATATCACGGGGGTACACATATCACTGTGACAGCGGAACAAAGATCACTGTTGTGTTCCTAAGTGCAATAACAATAGATCAAAAGTGCAGTCTAATATAACCTTTCATCAATTCCCGAAAGACAAAGACTTAAGAAGACAGTGGATTATAAAAATTAAGCGTGATGTCGGCCGGTCCTTCAAGGTAAATGGCCTTTTATATATCATAGTTCAGTTTAGCGTCGTTTCAGCGTTGTTTATATAGCAAACCTTATATTTTTTCCGATATCTTTCAGATAACCAACAGTACAAGAGTTTGCTCTGATCATTTTAAACCCACAGATATAAAAAAAACGCTAACAGGAAAAAGTGTACTCGTTAATGGTGCTGTACCATCCGTTTTTGAATGGACAACTTTATCAAAGAAACGAAAGTCACCAACGAAACGCGAATGCACAACACGTACTAACACAACCGAGATTGATGTCGTGGATAATATACAGCCAATCTCCTCTACAGGTATTTATTTTTTATGAAATCGTACTTTAGGCCCGCCCTAAATATTTCTAAACATGTTATTTTCTACATTCCCACAGTCGAAATTGGGCCCATCGAAGATTCAAGCGTAGACGAAAATGTCATCGATACTAGCAGCCACATGGAGGACTCCACCGTAACTACTGACACCACGATCATAACACCTACTGTCAACCTACATGATTATTTATTTACTGAACCCGAAAAGCCTGTAGAAGAGCTACTTGAGGCAGCGCAAGCTCAGATCGAACAATTAGAACAGCTGCTTTCAAAACAATCTTTTACAGACAACTGAAAGGGATGTCAGACAAACGCGTTAGATTCCATACTGGCTTTTCGTCATTTGCTATTTTTGTGAGTACCTTCAATGCCCTTAGACCCACAGCTGAAAGTATGTTTTCATGGTCCCAAGTACAGAGAGCACGAGCAAAAAGTGGGAAAGATATAAGTAACATGAGAGACACTCTCAAGACATGCAAACTTAGCTTATTTGATCAGTTTTATTTATGCATTACTAAGCTGAGGCTGGGTACTTTTAATGAGAAACTAGCCAGTGAATTTGATATTTCTATTTCAACTGTGAGTAGAGTTTTTATTTCTTGGGTTAACTTTCTCTATTTTGTTTTGGGAACCATTCCTATATGGCCCTCTCGGGCAAAAATTGACAAACATATGCCTAAGTGTTTTAAATTGTTATATCCTAAATGCCGTGGTATTATTGATGCCTCAGAGATCAAGGTACAAGCACCATCTAGTATGGTTTTGAATAGCAATTGCTATTCATCATATAAGAGCCACACAACTTACAAAGGCAATGTTGTAATATCTCCATCTGGGGAAATTATTCATGTAAGTTCTCTTTTTGAAGGAAGTATTTCTGACAAGGAGCTTGTTAAGCAATCAGGTTTGTTGAATTTACTTGAGCCAGGTGATCAAATAATGGCTGATAAAGGATTTACTATAGAGGATCTATTAAAGCCAATAGGTTGTGGAGTAGCAATGCCTGCCTTTTTGTCAAGTAAGGGTCAATTTTCAAAGAAAGAACTTTCAACCAGTAAACAGATACATAATTTAAGAGTCCATGTGGAAAGGGCCATAAGAAGGGTGAAAGAGTTTCACTATTTTGATAAAGTTATACCTCTTACAGTAGCTGGCAGCATTAATCAAATATGGACAGTGGCATGTCTTATTACCAATTTCCAGGGGCCTTTGTTGCATGAAAAGCAATATATCTAAATATGTATACAATTGTTGTAAAATAGATGGAAGAGTAAGCATCATTTAAAGTAAAGTATGTAAGGATCTGTAATACAAATAGTACTAACAACTTTTAACAACTAAGAGTTAGTTGACATTGAGTGAGGGTACACTACGTATTAGGTCCAACCTAGGTAAGAACTATGCCATCTGTTAACATGTGATGTGGAAGGGTGAATAGTAGGGTGGCCCTATCCCCTAGGGGCACCCTTTTCGTATGTACATGGCATATTGGTTAGGCATTAAAATAAACAGTAAAATCAGTAAAAATTATATTGTTAGTACTATTTTTGTTTTACAGATTCAATGCAAGCTTTCAAACTAGCTTTTTGGAAAAAAAAATTATGAATTTAATAACTTTACATTTATTCACAAATTTCATTATTGCCAAATATTATAAAAATGCCCTTTTGGGGTTTAAATACAAAACCTGTTGAAGTCATTCATGTATTTTTATTTATCATGTTTGTACAGAATGTTCTGTTTAATAACAGTAAAAAACTATTAAATGGCTTGAAATACACCCAACTTAGTCACAGTATTTGAATGCATGATAAACAATGAAATATGTACAGCTGTTTGTAAAAATTATGGCGCTTACAATATATTACAGACATATAGGCTTAAATGAAACTGAATTATCATAAGTATTGTATTTTTGGAAAAAATACAAAAACTATTAAATTACCAATCATGAACCCAATGTTTTTAAAGTTGTGGCAATAATTTCTGCAAACAGCTGTGTAATGATAATTACTAGAACAAGTTCTGAGTCTAATTAGGTTTGACTTGTTACATTTTAACATTTTAAGAATGCTGATTCAAATGTCTTTACTCCACTTCCCACCAAACTTTGTCACACACAATTAGCTTGTTACTTAGGCACGAAGTTATTTTGTATAAGAGACATACAATAAATTATTGAACACATGTATTCAGGTGATAATCAAAAAAAAATAAATTCAGTTTGTCCAGCATTTCAGAAAAGAGAAGTTCATCAAAATATACTCGTTCACAGTGAAATTCGTCCTTGCAGTAAACAAAGAAATCGCACCACTGACTTCCTGTTAAACCAAGGCATCCCATAACTTGATAATAATACTTGTGTGTCTTCTTCAATGAATATGACCCATTTCGTTCATTAAACTTTAAATACTGAAGGTTATCCAGATGACTTGCTGGAGAGCACTTTATTTCTATCAGGCCCCATGGATGTTGTTCAGTGTCGTCAAACACTCTTCTGTCTGGGCTACAGCCTAGGGTGTGGGAGACATGGGTTTATAAGAAAACCTACTAGGTGAGTGTCTCTGCCAAACTGTGTTTTGTACATATCAGCAGCTACCCCCTCATTTTGTATCCCATATTTCATGGCTGCAGTTTGGATTACTTTTCCCTTTAGTAAACGCGTAGAAAGGATTTCATGGTCTTTTCTTCTTGAGCATATATCTTTGAAATTTGAAGCTGTAAGCCTAAACTTCCTTAGTTCATGCCATGCTGTTGTAGTTGACTGTTCCCTTGTCTCCATTTCAAAGTCAATAGACTGTTGACCTGATATTGCAAGGGAGCTGAAGAAAAGGTCTTGTTTTTCATTGAGCACTGTATCTGGATAGCTTAAAGATGGAAAGTTGAATGCAGGTAGCTGTATGTTAATATTGCTCTTAACTTTCAATGGCTGTTGATAGCTTATGACACAGCCTTTTGGCACCTTTCCAAAGGCCGAGTCTACTAAAATTGGAGGCTCACTTTGTTCATCTTCCCATATTCTCATAAATCCAGGTTGATTGTTGAGATTTTCAAACTGTGGCGACAGCACACTAGTCAAGTCAAGGCTACTTAATGATTGCTGGAAGGGTTTGTAGATCGTGCTTGCCACACCACACACCTTTTCTTCTTTTTTAGGTTCATGCAATTTATCTTTTGGCTTTGACTTTTGTATAATCAAATCTGTCACTGGCCTTGCTTTAATGCCCTCTTTACGACTGGGGATATGCCATCTCTGCAAAAAAAAAATAATATACAAATATACTATATGAATTCAAAATTGCTTATTGTGTTATGTTTAAAAACAGCAGTGTGATTAAAAGGAGTTTTTAAGGAAAAATATTGGTAAGATACAGTCAAATCTCTATACATTAATGACTGTTTTTTTCTTATTGTTTATCATCAAATCTATTATTATTATTATTAAATTTTACCTGTGCCTTTGATGTTTTAGAAACCATTGGCGGGACACTTTTTAAGCCTAATAGCTGGAAATGGGCAAGAGTATAGAGCAATCCAAGAACATGATGGCAAAGACCTTGTCCAGCAGCACAACTACACATATACTTGTTGATGCTAGCCTCAATAGAGGAGCTCTCGAACACAACAGACAACTTGTGAGGATCTTCGTTCTTTTTCATACTTCTGAAGCATTTAGCCCGAGCCACTACTCCTGAATCCTCTTCCTTGCAAAGTTTTACTGTTAAAAACCGAGAAAAAAGAGTTAAAACTCAAAACACTGAGCACAGAAACAAAATATTGGAAAGACAGTCAAACAAAGAAAGCTACCACGAGGTCAACGAGGCTCACCTTCAATATCGTGAATATATTCTTCGTGAAAGAATTTATATCCTCTTGTTACAGTGGCTTTGATCGGTAGGTTCTTCTCAGCAAAATCCTCAACAAAAGAGTTTGTAACTTTGGGTATTTTTGTTATATTTTTGTGCCAAAATTCGAGTTCAACGCTATCGCTACTAGTCGCCATTTTGTTTGTGAACTTACCACGCGTGGCCTCGACCTCATGTACAATATTCAATGACGTAATCCAAGATGGCGGGCCGTGACAAAGGCGAATGCTTTTTTCCCATGAAAACCTTTCCTTTTCTTCCTTCGACACGATCTAAACTTCCCTTCTCTCTTACTTCCGGTTTTTCCCTTGGCTTCCATCAATAAATTCCAAATTACACAACTTTGACAATATGAATACTCCAACACTTGCTTGCATTACTCGGTGAGAAAGTCAAGCAGAATAAGCGCAAAGTGTTGTGGGTTAAAAAATTTGGACGGTCATGGAGTATAAGACTTCTGGGTTACAGGAGAGCAAATTTGGATCGTTTCTCGAAAAACCCATATCTGTAAACCATGGCAACCAAAATCAACAAAGTGTAAACAATGGTAGCTAAGGCGTTTTTAATGACTTCCATTGATTAAAAATCAATTTTAAGATGGGATTTTAAAACATATTGTAAAATGCTCTCAGAACTAAAAAGCCAATATTATGAACGTCCTTCCTACTCTTTTCAAGTTTGTTCTACAAAGGCTCAGGACCCTTCTTGATTCGCCACGTCTGGAGGAACGGTTGCAAAGAGTGAGCACTTCTATTTAAAATCACTGTCTCATTTTTAAATCATTACCATTTATTTCTTTGTATGATTATTTATGGGATTCACGGGAAATAACCCATACAATCTGATAACAAGAAGAATCAGATTTACAGACTTTACATTAAGAAGAGAACATATAAAAAGAGAACATAAAAAAGAGGAGAAAAGAAAGTTCAATACTGAATATCTATTAAAAATAGTTCAATTGAGGTATTATGAACTAAAAGTGACCCTGTGTTACATGATGTACATATTTAACATAATTGAAATAGAAGAATTATCAATAGGTGATGATGACAATCCAATGATTTGGACTCAATATTTGGAAGAACAGTATTTAGAAACATATTACTGCAGTATGTATTGACTGGATGTGATCGGTCAACTTACGTCAAGCTGAGGAAAGTCCTAATTTTCAAATCAATTTACATGTAACCAATCATTGGTATCAAATCAATTTTGACTTTAGTGGGACTATTGACCAATGATATTGACTTGATTCCGAAGCTTCTAATCATCGACTTACATTTAGTGAGCTCAATTTATCTTTTTAGAGAGAAAAGGGTCTTTCATGCAGTTTACAAACGTAATGTTATTATACTGTTTGCACTAGTAAAATTTCATTTGGAACCATATATGAAATAGTAGTAGGTCATATTAATTCTATCCTTTTTTTTTTTTTTTTTTTTTTTTTTCAGTTTAACTTCAGGCTGAAGATTTCTAAAATAAGAAACCTCCTGTCTGAAGTTATAGACTATCTGGAATTGCCAAATGACAAATACAATTCAGTAACAATTAACTTATATGTGGAAGGTGCTCGAATACCCATTAGAGAACAGTTTTGTGTTGAAAGTAACATCAGAAGAGTAGTTCACTTTCTACCACCTACTGAATTCTCCAGGTTGCTTAGATTTGTATCAGTTAAAGTTCATTACAATGAACCTGAATTTAATACATGTGTTGGGGACGATATGCAGAGAACTCCTTTACGCGTAGCCGCACCAATGCAAGTCATTCCATGATTGAGTAAACCTTCTTTTAAATTTAAACATTTTCACCATTTGACATTGCGTGTTGTTTTGACTTGATCTTCGTACACCTACGGTAAAAACTGAAAACGAGAACCTAAATTAACAACTCACTGGGCTTAAAGCTTAAACTGCAAAACGAGGCACATGTACTTATATATTTCTATGCGATAAGCGGGCAGGAAAAGCACAAAACTTCAACAATCAAAATGAACACAGCACCCAAGGTCCTGACACGAAATTACTCTCGCACTAAAACATGTGCTACTGATCATGTGACCTAATAGAAGTCTACAATTCGTTCTTGGCCGCTAGTCGGCCCAAACAGCATGTTACTAAGTTTATCAGTCATCTACCTTAGATATCCCACAAAACTTTAAATTGGTGTGGTCACTCAGGAAGTCAAAACCCAATTTATTGTACAGAATCACTAGCTAAAATGTGTACCAGGCATAGATAATCGCACAAAAGGTAACAGTAACTTTACAGAACGAAAACTGGCCTGACAATGAGGTGAACAGGCAATGTGTTTTCACAGCAGCAGAGAGAATAGCGTGACTAAAACTGTCAAGTAAATTTTGAGGCTGAACTGGTTTGTTGAAAACACAGTCACTGATCCAACTGGCAGCTTTCATAACTGCAGGTAATGAAACATTACAGCCATGAGCCTTGCTTGTAGATGCCGCACGGGTAATGTGTGGTTTAAAGACAGTGGTATCTACACCATCCTGTTGCGTCGCAGTCTTTATCCATCTCGATATGGTGTCTTTGGACACCCCATGATGTGGCTGAGCATGTAATGAGGAGGTACGATCAATAGAGAGTTTAAGATACCTGGATGGCTGACCTGGAGGATGTTAACATTGAGCGCGAGGGACTGGGTCGATGACGACTACCTTGGCGGGAAACTTTTCACGTTAAGGAGCAGATTTCAAGCTGAGGACGACAACGTTTTGTTCATCATGGCATCTTTACGAAAGACTCGTGAAATGATTGTTATTGCTTACGTGGAAGGGCTATTGACGGATGAAGAGTTTATGTTTCTTTATGAGACAAATCAACCAGTTAATTTAGAGTTGCCTTACTACGAGTATGAGGAATTTAACTTTGACGAAAACATCAGTGAAGCCGAATGTAAAGCGGAGTTTAGGTTTGAAAGAGGAGATATCGAACGTCTCGCTGATGTTCTTCAATTACCACCCACTTTTACGTGTCCACAAGGCAGTGTTTGCGACTGAATAGAGGGCCTTTGCATACTTCTTCGTCGCCTCGCATATCCATGTTGTTACAGTGACATGGTCAGCAGATTTGCAAAACCAGTTCCTGTTTTGTGCATGGTATCGAACATAGTGCTCAACTATATCTTCGATCTGCATCATCACAGAATCACAACCTGGAATAATTCCATCTTGAATCCATTTGTTATCCAACAATACTCTGATGCTGTGTCGGACAAGGGTGCTGCCCTTAACAACTGTTTTGGGTTTGTGGATGGAACTGTCCGCCCGATTTGCAGGCCAGGGGAACACCAACAGCTTGTTTATAACGGGCACAAGAGGGTACATGCCCTTAAATTTCAGGCTGTTGCTCTTCCTAATGGGCTTATTGGACATTTGTTCGGTCCAGTAGGTAAGTCTAGTTATTCCTACAGTCTCTTTTGTTTTTGGTTTTAAGTCACCAGTTTTGGCTTAGAAAAATTTATCAGTTGAACAATCGGTTTTTCAGAGGGAAAGAAGCATGATGCTGCCATGTTGGCTGACTCTAATTTTCTCACCGCTTTGGAGCACAATGCTGTATCCCCAACTGGCCAACAGATGTGCATATACGGAGACCTCGCCTATCCTTTAAGGGTAAATCTCATGGCACCGTTCAGAGGGGCCGCCCTGACAGCACAAATGGAAGCCTTCCATGATTCTATGTCAAATGTGCGTACGTCAGTCGAGTGGTTGTTTGGAGACATTGTGGAGTATTTCAAGTTTAGGGACTTTAAAAAAAACCTTAAAATAGGTCTAAGCTCGATCGGAAAATTGTATGTCGTGTGTGCCCTGTTAAGAAATGCGTTAACTTGCCTTTACGGAAATTCAACTTCAAGTTTTTTCGAACTGGATCCTCCCACACTGGAGGAATACTTCTCTTGAACAATTTTAAGTCATATTTCCACAAACTGCTAACCAAAAATTGAGCTCTGAAATCAGTTAAAGGTAGTTGAACAACGTTTCGATAATTCATCGATTTTTTGCGAAGATAAAGGAATCAAACACTTTATTAACAGTCAAATATTATTCAAGCACAATCTTAATAGAATAAACAAAGCTGCCGAGATAACAAGATAAAGGCTGAAATTACACTCACTGTTAAAGTAGAAAGGCTCAGTAGTCCGACCTCAGTGTTTACCAATTTTAATAGATAAACACAAATTAACATAGCTGTACCGAGCTACTTTGAAAGACAATTACAGCCATTGTAAAGTCACTTGTTCACCAGTTTCGACAGTAGCTCCATCATGTTTTGTTGTTGCTGCTGCATCAATTGCATCATCTCCCTTTGTTGCTCCAACGATCGCGCTGTCTCCTTTTCTTTAAGCTCCAACTCTCTCTTCCTGATTTCAAGCTCTAGCTGAGATTTTTCTCTGAGAAAGTCAATGGAATCATTGCCTCCTCTTCTCTTTTTCTTCCTAGGTTCCATGTGAGCTTCATCTCCCGCAATTCTTGATTTGGTCTGACCATAGCTCTCCATCGCTTTATTTCGAATTTCTTGTGCTTTGTGCTTGTTTTCTTCTTCTCTCTTACAGATTGCTTGTTTACACGGAATTGGGCGGTTTCACAGGTATTAAGGTGATTCGAAATTTCTTCCCAAATTTTGCCCCTTTCGACCATTCTTTCTTTGAATTTGTATGGCTGACAGACGAGTAATTCCCGGCAGAGAAGGAGATCGTGCTCTTCCTTCCATTCCATGCTCGCTAATCCTGTAAATAAAGAGAAGGCAGATAAAACAATTTCTCTGATTTCTCGCTCCTAACTGACCAAGGGAAAAGCATTTGGACCGTGTAGATTAAAGTTTAATACAAGATAAGACATCTTTCATTCAGAGAATAAACGGGTTCAAGTGCTAGGGACTCTTTTTTAGTAAAGCAAGAAAATTTAACGCACGTGTTCAATCGAAATGCTCCACCGTGGCTGTGCACAGTGCACATCACTTTTACAATTTTAACCAGCTTGTCAGTGGTTTTATTGCCCAAAACAAAAAAGTGACAAACAATGTTCACCTAATGAAGTTCGAAAATCTAAAAACATGCGAAGTTTATGGGGAAATAATAGTAACAGTACTCACGTTGACTGGTGGACGGCAAAACACCACTTCTCACGTCCTCGACACAAACAGGACTGCAATCCACGTGGACCAGGCATGCGCATTGTGGTCTACACGCGAAATTTACTTCCGGTCAGTCGTCCTCGAGGTCAGCCGTCCAGGTATCTTAAACTCTCTAATATGTTGATCAAGAACTGTTGCAACACATGACATACTATCAGCAATGACTCCAGGTCTAAGTAAAATGGGCTGTTCTCTGCTAGGGGTAGATTGTTTAACTATCTGATCAATACAAAAAATGTGGGACGTTTTAGGGTTTCTGCACACTTGCTCTAAATTCATGAAATGAAGTGTTTGACACCGCTGGCCTCTAACTAAGGCACATAACATAGCAAGTTTACGGGTAAGGTTTCGAAGACTGAAAGTGTTTTAAGGTAAGTAAGAACTATTGAAGTGTCCCAGGTGGAAGTAAAACGAGGGAAAGCTGGCCTTACGTGGAAAACTCCTTTTAAGAACCTTTAAACGAGTGGGTGATTCCCAACAGTAATATTCCCATCAAGTACTATGAAGGAGGATAGGGCATTTCGTGCAGTATTAAGACAACTGTATCCTAAACCCCTTGCATAGAATTCTTGAAGAAACTCCATGACATCCCTTACAGGTGGATGTAGGGGATTCACAGCCTTCCCATCTGCACATGACTGCCACTTCTCAAGGTAAACCTGGTTTTGTTTTTGGGTTGCTGTCCACCACGAGCTTAGGATTGTGTCTTGAGTTGTTTGTGAAATTCCTCTACTTTGGAGGCATTTCCGAATTAGAGGCAGGCCATCAGATGAAGTTGGCTGCCCATACCCACTGTTCTAGGGTGAATGGTAGATGGACATTGCTCGTGTGTTTTAGAAGGAGGAGTGGCTTCCCAATCAAGAGTCTTGTAAGCTTGGGGTACCATGACTGTGTTGGCCAATTGGAGGCAGTCAGGATTGGTTAGGCATGATCCATTTTCAGTTTCTGCAATAATTGTGGTGGGATGCCAAAGGGAGGAAAGGTGTATAAAAATGATTAGTCCAATCCAGAGTGAAGACATCAATGGCCATGGCTTGTGGGTGTGGAAGCCATGAGACATTTGGTGTCATTTGATAGTTTAACTGTGAGGCAAACATATTAATGGTAGGTGTTCCCAGGATGTTTACTATCCTATTAAAAAAATCCACATTAAGCTTCCATTCAGTTGAATCATCAAACACCCTGGATGCTTGGTCAGCGATAACATTGATTACCCTTGGAATGTGGCTTATAGAAAGCCATATGTTTCTGGGGACGCACCACTCCCACATTTGTCTGGCAATGTCATTACATGGGAGGAAATGAGAACCTCCCATGTGGCTTACAAAAATATGCCACAGCTGTGGTATCATCAGTCATAACTCCGATGTGATCATGGGTCACATCCTTACAAAAGGACTGCAAGCCCGAGAGAATGGCCTTTAGCACTAAGTAATTAATTTCATAGCTTTCTTCTCAACTGGACCACCATCCCCCAGATGCGGTGTCATTCAGGCTTGCATCCCACACCTGGGTAGAGGCATCAGTGTACACGGTATGACTTATCTTCCCATGATCAATTCTCTGCGTAAAGGTCAGGTCATTTCTGATCTATCAATATCTGCAGAGGCTACTTTGGATAAAAGCATAGTTTGTTCAAAATCCCAGCTGTTAGTTAACTAGCAACTTCCAAGTATTATGGTGTTTATAATCTGACCACGTCTCTGACCGGGCCAGCGGATGGTCGCTGAATAAATAGCTTGGTGCAGTCTATAATAATAATAATAATAATAATAAAGGGTTTATTAAAAGTATTCAAAAATAGCACCCCAGTGGTGAAATACATGTGAATTTACAAGTATACTTCAAATATTTAAAAAATACGACAATCTTACATTTGACTTTAAAATTAAAAGTCTAAGGGGACTGGGAATTACAAGAGTCAGTAGTTATATACCAATGAAAACGCTTAGGTTTGCTTGACTACAAGAACTGGGCGTTAGACGCCATTGTTGGAAAGAAAGATTTTTTAAATCTTTCGGTCCGGCATTTAAAGAGTGATACATGGTTTTTGTTGCGAAACTCATAAACGTGGCAATCGGCGCGCTTTGGTGGAATAAGGTGGTACAGCCGTGACCCAGGCACACAGATACCATCCCAAACTTTCTTGCAGAGTTCGTCTCTTCTCACATTTAAGCGAGTGGAGTTTGCAGCCACAATGGCGTCTTTGTAGCTCAGCGCCGGAAATAATATATGCAGAGCTCTTTTCTGAACTCTTTCGATCATGTCCTTGAGTTAAATTGGTAGGCTAGTAGACCAAGTGACGCAGGCGTATTCGAGGACCGATCGTACCAAGGCATAAAATATGTTAATAAGGTCTTCGGGTGGAATTCCGGACCGCTTGAGCACTCTTAAGATGTAAAGACGTTTTGAGGCTTTGGAGACTGTGGCGTTGTTTATAGGAAGAACAAGACACACACAGGTGAAGTAACACAAGTCTATTTAATCGATGTCCGACGAACTCTACAAAACCGGAAAGCATGGTCTCTAAAGTTTTGTTGCCATGGTAGTTATGACGTAAATGCGGACCGGAAGTAAATAGAACGATAACATCGATATCGTTACATCTCCTTTTCTTCAGGAAACAAAAAAAAATGTAGACGTAACTGAGTGTCTCAATCCTAGTTTAAAATAAACTACAGAAAAAAAAAAGAAAATTAAGAGTTTGTCATGTCCTTTTTTTGTGTTCTTTCGATAACCCCAATCACTGGTAACGTGTGGGTGGTCGCACAATTCGTCCAGATCGAGTGGTGGTCACCGATGGGGAAATCTCCTGCTTATCTGCTGCAGACTGAGGTGGATATTCCGGATGTGGCTTGTCCGTGTTCTGCAAAGGTACTGTGTCTGATTGGTCCTTACTGACTGCAGTACTTGGTATGGAAGGTGGTACCGATGGTATTTCATTACCAGAATTTGCAGTAGCAGAAATTGGTGTTGCTTTTTGGGATAATCTCATCCCATCTTCACTGTGTGGCATCACTTCACGTGTATGTCTCAGGTGTCTGCGGTTCCTCCTATAAATTCTTCCATCTTCTGTTCTGACTTGATAGGACCTTATGTCGACTTTGCCTTCGACTCTTGCTTGGGTCCAATCCTTCTTCTTTCCCAAGTGGGATTTTAGTGGCTGCAATCGCACTGTGTCTCCTGGGCGCAGTTCCTTCAGTTCTTTGGCGCCTTGATTGTAGTACAGGGATTGTTTAGCCTTTTGTAGCTTCAACTTCTGATCAACTTCCTCTGGTAGCTTCGGCTTGAGCAATTGGTTTGAGGTTGGGAGTGGAGTCTTTGTTCTTCTACCGAATAATCGCTGAACAGGTGACGAGTTGAGTGTTTCTGTGGGAGTATTTCTCCAGTCCAGCAGGGCAAGATATGGGTCTTGTTCGGACTTGACGGCTTTCTCTAGCAGATGTTTTGCTGTCTTCACCGTGTTCTCGACTTTGCCGTTGGACTGAGGATATGTTGGAGAGCTTGTTATATGTTCAAAACCATAAGTGTCTGCGAACTGTTGGAACTTTGCGGAAGAAAAGGGCTGTCCATTATCCGATACAAGCTGGTCGGGAATTCCATGGCGGGCAAGATGGGCTTTCAACTTCTTCACAACTTCGTCTGCTGTCTTGCTTGTCATTTTGTCGACTTCAAAGAAGCTTGAATAGTAGTCAACGGTCACCATGAAATCTGCACCGTTCAGATCAAAAAGATCAACTGCGATTTTCTCCCAGGGTCTACTAGGCAGTTCGTGACAAATCATTGGCTCTTTTCCTTGCTCGACAGGCTGGCTGTTGCAGATGGCACACTTTGCTACATAATCTTCGACATCTTTGTTCATCCCATGCCAGTAGACTACTTCTCTTGCTCTTCTGAGACAGCCTTGGATGCCGATGTGGCTCCGGTGGATCTTAGCCAACATGTCAGCTTTCACGCTCATAGGGATAACTAGTCTTTCACCTTTGAACACCAGTCCATTCTGTAAAGACAGTTCGTCCCGAAATGTAAAGTAGCCACTGATGTTTGCTGATACCCCAGCTTTGGTAGCTGGCCAACCTTGCCTGATTGTTCTCTTCAGCTCTCTCAGGGTAGGATCGGATTCTGTTGCTTGCTGAATGGCAATCAGCGTTGGTTCCGATACTGGCAAGTATTGTATCATATTGATGTGCTCTAGCTCTCTCTCAGTGTCTCCTCTCATGTCCTCTATGTACATAACATCTTCTGCTACATCTTCTTTTTGTGCTCTTGCGCACTCTGTATGCTCTGCTCAGTGTATCTGCCAGATACATTTCAGTCCCTTTTTTTGTAAGACACTTGAAGGTCAAACTTCTGCAATCTTAGCAGCATTCGCTGGAGACGTTTAGGTGCACTGAGTAGACTTTTACGGAAGATGCTCTCCAAGGGTTTGTGGTCAGTTTGGATCTTGACAGGTCGACCATATACAAACTGCTCAAAACGTTCTACTCTCGAAAAGTATTGCAAGCATCTCTTTCTCTATCTGGGCATAGTTCACTTCCGTTTCTGTCATGGAACGAGATACATAAGCCACGGGCTGGCCTCCTTGCATTAGACATGCACCAAGTCCTCGGTCTGATGCATCACACTGCAATTCCACGTCGTCTTTGGGGTTAAAATACTTGAGGACAGGGGCAGCTGAGAGTATCTCCTTAACTCGCTTGAAACTACAACCTTGTACTTGCTCATCCCAACGGAACTGGTTCCCTTCTTTCAAAAGGTCTCTCATTGGGGATGTAACTTCTGACAGGTTAGGAGCAAACTTCTGGAGGTAATTTACCATGCCGAGAAGTCTCTTGAGATCTTGTTTGCTTGTCGGGGTTGGCATCTCTTTGATACCTTGTACCTTGTCTGGGTCAGGCTTAAGACCATCTTGACATATAACATGTCCCATAAACTTCACTTCTTTGCGACGGAGCTTAAGCTTCTCTTTGTTTAACTTAATGCCAGCAGCGCGGCAGCGTTCTAACAATGCTGTCAGCTTTGCATCATGATCAGAAAGTGCTTCTGTTTCTGTTTCTCCGACACCAAAAACAAGGATATCATCAAATATTGGCTTAATTCCATCAAGACCTTCCAGGGCGTATTCCAATCTCCTCTGAAACTCTTCCGGAGCGGGTGATATGCGAAGGGCATCCGCGTCCAGCGGAACCTTCCCAGGGGTACCAAATGTGGTCAGAAGACTGCTTTCATCGTCTAGCTGCACATGCCAAAACCCGTTCTTTGCGTCAACGACACTGAAGACTTTAGCATTTGTAAGGAGTGGTAGTAGATCGTCGATCACTGGAAGGGGAAAATGATTTCTCCTGAGTGCTTTATTCAGAGGTTTTGGGTCAATACATAACCTTATTTTTCCATTGCTCTTCTTAATGACCACCATTGAGGAAATCCAATCTGTTGGAACATCTACTGGTTGCAAGATGCCTATCTTAACTAAGCGTTCTAGTTCCTGTTTTAAAGGCTCTTTTACTGCAAAGGGGACTTTCCTCACTGGCAGTGCCACAGGGGTTACAGACTTATCAATCTCGAGGTGAAGCTTTCCTTTGAGCTTTCCTTCTCCTGAGAAGACATCTCCGAATTTGCTCACGAGATCCGGCTGTGTGGGAATCTCATTAGAGAGAGACATGATGTTATCGGTGTTAATCACTATGAGGCCAAACTGCTGCACCGATTCAGCACCAAGGAGTGCTGTGTGACCTGTTGGAACGACGGTGTATTCCGTGAGGAAACACTGTCCATTCTTGGGGTTGAAGGTCTCGACCTTAGTACATCCTAGAGGTTTCAGCTCTGATTTGTTGAACATGACGAGGGTAGTTTGAGTAGGCTGAAGGCGTTCCATTCGCGGATCGTTAAATACCTGCTGATAAATATCTGCTGGGAGGATATTGACTGTTGCTCCACAGTCTAACTGGAATTTCACTGTTTCATCCCTCAAGCGCATGTTAGCATAAATCTTCTTTGGACTGTTTTTTGCATAAAGGACGCTCACAGATTCTACACTGAATAAGTAATCATCAGAATCTTCGTCATTAAACTCCTGAACATCTTGTTCTACATTGTGAACTGACTTCTTAGTTTGCTTTTTTTTAGCTTTCTGACTTCTGCAAGCCACTGAGAAGTGGTTCATTCGACCACAGTTATCACACTTGTGCTGCCATGCTGGACAGAGTTCCTTTTTTAAAGGATGGGTTCTGTGGCAGAACTTACATCTAACTGGTTCTGTTACTTTGTTGTGGACGGGCGTTGAACTTTACTGAAATTTCGTACTTCATTATGGCGTAAACCAATCTTCGATTTTGGGTGGCCTGTGGCAACGGCGCTAACCTCCTCCGCATGGGACATCTCCTTAAGTTGTTTGGATGTGGTTTCACTCGCACGGCAAATATCAATACACTTATTAAGAGTTAGTTTGTTCTCAGCTAGCAGCTTTTTTGGGTGGCGTTATCTCTAATTCCTACGACAACTCTGTCTCTAATCATTCGCTCTTGCATGATGCCAAAATTGCACGTTTTAGCTAACGAACGTAAAGCTGTAAGGAAAACATCAAATGACTCACCGACCTCCTGTACTCTCTGATTGAACAGATAGGCTTCGTATATTTCATTCGTCTCACCGATGAAAAAGGCGTCTAGAAGCTCTATCACTTTGTCGATGTCGGTTTTCTCCTCTTCATTTCCGAAGGGCAAACCATCGTAAATCTCCAGGATATCTGGGCCAATACATGTCAACAATGTGGCTGTTCGAAGATTACTGCTTTGCGTACTGAGCCGTGAGGCGATCTCGTAGTTTGTCCACAGCCGCTTAAATTTCTTCCAATTCACAGCTAAGTTCCCCTTGAAGTCTAGTTTCGACGGTAAAGGAATAGAGGACTGGATAAATTGAGGAGTTGCTGGCTGCGTGCTTGTTGACGCTACGCTCGACGAGCCTGATTCGGTCATCTGGAGCTAGATTCACTGAGTTTGGCTTGAAAATGCACTCAAGTATTTCAGCGACGATTCTGTAGGAAGAATCCCACTTCTGACACCGTGTGGCGTTGTTTATAGGAAGAACAAGACACACACAGGTGAAGTAACACAAGTCTATTTAATCGATGTCCGACGAACTCTACAAAACCGGAAAGCATGGTCTCTAAAGTTTTGTTGCCATGGTAGTTATGACGTAAATGCGGACCGGAAGTAAATAGAACGATAACATCGATATCGTTACAGAGACAATCTCACGCACGTGCTCATTCCACCCAAGAGTGTCGCTGATAGTGACTCCAAGGACCTTGTGTGAGGAGACCCGTTCTAAGGGACGTCCATTGACGCACAAAGGGCCAAGATCTGGCCGTGTTCTAAGCGAACAAATCACAAGTTCCTTGCACTTCTTTGGGTTGAGGTTCATATTATTGCGTGACGACCACTGTGCAATGGCGTCAAGATCTTTCTGAAGGGACGATGTACCGCCTGATGGGATGACCTCGGATATTGTTAGGTCATCTACATATTTCCAGTGGCTCGATAGTAATGGAGTTTCAATCGCGAGATCGTTAATCATCAGGAGGAACAGGATGGGGCCAAGCTCAGTGCCCTGCGGGACTCCAGCGTGCACGGGCAACCAAGGGGATACAATGTTCTTAATCTTAACAGCTTGGCGACGGCCATAAAGAAAACTGCAAATCCAACGGATAATAAAACCACGGACCCCAAGGTGGATGAGTTTATTGACTAAGATAGTGTGGTCAATATGGTCAAAAGCCTTACTAAAATCCAGGAAGCAGGCCCTTAAGAACATACCTGGTTTGTCAGTAGAGGACAACCAGTTGTGCATCATATCCAACAGGCAATAGATGGTTGAAGTTCCTTTGAGGCAGCCGAATTGGCTGAAATCGATGAGGTGCACAACATCCTCAATTAGCCATTCAACTACGAAATCCTCCAGGACTTTAGAGACGATTGCAGTTAGGGAGATAGGTCTTAAATCTTCCCTACCGGTTATGGGCGTAACCTTGGGTACCGGTGTGACATTAGAGTCTTTCCATGCAGTAGGGAAGGAGCCTGATGCAATAGAGGTGTTGAATATTCGCGTGATCGGCTCAGCGAGCTCAGCAGCATATTCTTTCCAAATACGAGTCGGAATCCCATCAGGCCCAGGGGCCTTAAAGGCGCTGATGGCAAGTAGCTTTTGTAGACCCTTTGTGTCTCGATTACGGGCGGTTGAGGGGATGGTAAGTAGCAGGGCAGTGCACTTGTATCAAGTGGCTTAATGTCAGATATTACAGATACAAAAACTCATTAAGGCGTGTTGCGAGAGTCGCGCCAGAGATAATTCTGCCTTCCTCGTCAGTATAACTGAGTTCGTTAGGGCTGCTAGCCTTCCCTGCAAGCTTATTCACCATACTCCACCATTTCCTCGGGTCAGTGCTCTTGAGGTTATTAACTTTGTTTTTATAGAACTCGCATTTCCGGCGGGTGATAACCTCTCTGACCTTATTTCTAAGGCGACGCCATTTCTCCTCCGGGCCACTTAGATAGGCGCGTTGGCGCTCTAATATGAGAGCCTTAATCTCAGGTGACATCCAAGGCTTGTCCATTGGATGAATCTTCACGTATTTGGACGGAAAGTAGATATCGCTGGCTGATGAAAGATCCTTAGTAAATGAGTCAGTGAGAGAGTCAACTGATTGTGAGTCACCGTCTACTTCTAAATCACTGAACCAACGGTGTGAACACGCCCACCTCCCAATTATTGCCGACTGAGGAAAGCGACGCATCGGGATCCTTTTCTTTTCAAAGCACAGCGGGTTTAGTTGGTTCATTGAAAGCGGATTCCAGTGAACAGAGCTATGGTCCGAAGACCCTAATTGTGCGCTGACAATTGGGTCGCTATAGTATTCACTAAAATCCGTTAAAATAAGGTCTAGTATGCTATTGCCCCGAGTGGGTCTGATAACTACTTGTTTTAGGTTATGATTGGCTAACATGTCTGAGATGTCCTGGGTGTTAAAATCGCCTAATAACACTACACCACAGTCTGGATAAGAAGTCTTTACGGAGTCTAGTGTTTCTATGATGTACATTGTGCGATCTCGCTGCACTTGGCGCAGAGGCCACAGGAAAATACACCACCCACATATAATACCAGATAGTGGGCGTGGTAGACGATGAGGGCGTAGCCATAGCCACAAACACTCGTGTTCTGGAGACTCCAAGTCAGATCTACGCTTGAAAGGTATCTCTGAAGACACGAACGCGCACACGCTCCCCCCTATTCGGTTGTGGCGGTCACGTCTCGCGATGTTGTAACCTGGAATGGTAAGGATGTTATTATCGATGTAGTCATGCAGCCAAGTCTCCGTAATAATTGCAATATCCATGTGAAACGTTAAAAGCTGAGCAGTCAACTTGTCCAGTTTGTCCCTGACCGATCGAGCATTTGCCATGTAGAAACTTGGGAAGCTGTAATTGGGGCGTTTTTGAGAAGTAAAAGTCTAAAATTATCCTGGTTTTGGCATACTGGGCAAACTCCTTGGGCATGTTTTTGTGAACAAGCTCCTGTGTGGGAAATGGAAACAGGTCCTTGAGTTCATGATAGAGCAAATTTATCCAGGTAATGCAGATCCTGGAAACCAGGTTGGTAATGATGCCAAGTCTGTCGGCAAGGTCTTGTACAAATATTCCAGCTTTCAGTCTCATGAGCACCAGTAGGAATTCGTGCAGAAAAGTAGGCTTCCTTGATGGCCCAGGTTTACGCTTGTTTTCATCAAGTTGATAAGGCTGGCTTTCCTTTACTAGATTTTCACCCTTCCCGTACTGCATTTTGGAAAGCTTCGGCTCAATATATTTGTAGAAGCTCATTCATGTCTCATTACTTGGGAATCCGGTGTAAAATAAAACAGCAGCATTGTCATCTTTAATTTTGTTGATGAAAAACTGACTTTCCAATAACACGGCATATTCCTTTTATGCTTCACTGAGCTTTTCCTGGCAGTCAGCTAGCTGAGTTTCAAGTAATTCAATTTTCCTTTGCAATTCATGGACACCATCATGCTCTGTTTGAGGAGACTCGCACTCCACTTCAGCAGCATTTTCATCACACTCTGAAAATGAACCAGCAACATCAGTTGAGGCATCTTTAGAAGGTATTACTGAGCAGGCTTCAAACTGCGATGCCGATGCTGATGCTGCTACTCCAACAGTTGACTCATCAATCTTTCCTTTGGTGCCTTTCTATGGTTTGCTTGCTTTGTCCAGCTAAATAGACATGGCTCTGCGCCTTGTAAATAAATAAATAAACAAAACTCAGTAAATGAGACAGTAATCATTTCAGATTTATTTATTGAGTTAATCTGCAGTTAAATTGATTGCTTTTGTAAAGTCCAGCAATATTAATAAGCGTACATTAAATATTTTTAATGTATGCAATTATCATTCAGCAACAAAAATCACAAGACATAAAACACTTTGAATCATAAAGTTTAAAATAAAACAACAATTGTCGAATAAAACAACCAAAATCCTTGATTTGGGAAAAATTAAACAAATCCTTGTTTCTAAAGACCAAAATATCTTGAAATTTAAATTAATAGCTCAAATCAAGAACGCACACAGCACTGTTGCCATGTAAACATAACAAAAGCACTACAAAAGCTCGACAATATCACAAACCTGTCTTCAAATTCTAGCGAAAGTTCTTTCGAGACATCTGCCCTAAAATGTTCATTACAGAGGACAGTTGCAGTGGAAACAACAAGTCATCCTGTCGCTGCTTGATAAGTGAGCACCACCGATTCCTTTGCTGATCGTCCTTGGGAGACTCGAAGAAATGATAACTTGTACGAGTACCGTTTACATTTTGGCACTGGTATTGCAGTCAAAAGCTGCACAATACTTCCCTCTTCTTTTTCGAGGAGCGGAGGATGTTTCACCGACACTTACGCTTTCATTCATTTCACCAAAGACTTGACAAACCAACGAAACGCTTGAAAACAGCACCAAACTTCTATGCGACACCTGAATCAGGTCACCAGCAGCCTCGTCGCTATCGTGTTTGCACGGTTTCTAATCCAATATTGCGCCAGGAACTGTAAAAAGGGCTATTGATTGTCCTATACCATCAACTTAAAGGAACGAAGTAGGAAAGTGGGATTGGCTAACATCCGTTACCCTCTGAGTATCCCATGGGAATTTTTCCTATGATCGCATAGGAAAAGAGGGTAATGTGGTTTTGTACGGTATTTTTTTCATAGAAAAAGAGTTTGAGGCTGACAAATTAGTGGTCACTGATAGGTTCGTCGCTGTGACTTGGCTTGAATTAGCAGGTTACCGACACCTCTAATAATGGAGTAGAACTCATGGATATGCTGTTGGATTATTACAATGGAGTAGTATCTGGATAAAAGAAGGCCAGCATTTAATCATTGAAAAATGTGACAAAATAAAAGGTAACCCTTGGGAGTTAGACTACAGCAAAGTCTTGCTCGAGAGAAGGGGATACGTTATGTTTGTGTGGGACAAGGATGACTTATTACGGCGCTATATAAATATTATTATGCAGCAGTAAAAACTATCTGTATGCTATACAGTTAGAAGGAACATAGGGTGCCAAGGCGTGGCCTGTGCTCCAGCCAGTGAATCTAGAATTAAAAGGTAGTGTACAATGAAAAAGTAAGGTTAAAATATGTATATGTATATGTATATATATATAAGGAACTAAACAAATTTACGCTAAAATATGCTAAATGTTCAAAGTTCTAGAGCAGGAGACAAACCGAAGCACTGGTAAGATAATGTCTAAAGTGTCGCAACCTTAAAAGTACGTGCAATGTTCAGTGTGACAGATAGGCATGCCCTCTGCATCTTCTTGAGGACGTCTCTGTGACGCCTCCCAACTAGCTCCTTCACTGCTACCTCCACGTCTGTCGACCAGCCCCCCAGTATGTCCACAATGATGTTATACTGTGAAATCTTGTACCCGGGGTATTTCTGCTTCAGCTCCCATCTAACACGCCAGGCTGGCGCGTGCCGTGAAGTGGAACTTTGTCGCCCGCTGTTGTTTGAGATTGTACAGCGGAAATGCGAATAAAAGTACAAAGCAGTTTTCAAAATGGCGGCTGAAAATAGCATTTTGAATGCTATTGTGGCTCTTCGTCCTTTACGTGATGAAGTCGATAATTTCTTTTTGTTTGAAGAAGAAGTAAAAACAGCTCTCACTTCAATTTTTGAAAAAAACCGTGTGGGCAAAAGCTCTTTGAAACGAGCTAAAATGTCACAAATTCCAGCGACAGCACTCCTGGAAGGAGAAGTGAAGATGTGGCTTAAGATGCTCCATAGGCGCCTCAGTCCAAGAATGAAGGCCCGAAGCGCTTGGACTGTAGAGTTTAAAAGGGCGATGTCCTCGGAAATATTTTCCTTAATTTTACAGATGGTTAAAAAGGCCCGTTCCACTTATGGTGTTGTGCACAACGAAGAAAAACACAGATATAATCTACTATAACAGAGAGAACAGACTGATTCGAGATTTTGCCCAGTTATCTGAGCTAAGCAGAGACTCAGTCCGAGAATTCCTTATTAAGCAGAGTAAAGGAACAAGAAAAGGAACTTCAAAAGTTTCCATAACTTCTGAAACGCCTTTCACCATCACATTTATTAAGAGGACACAGCAAGTGGTGGTGAAAGCCCACTACAAATTCACTAATGAATTTGGCTACACGTTTTCGTAAGCATATAAGTAATGCGGAATAGACTGAGTGGAGTATATGTCAGGCTGTTTGTAATTATAAGTTGTCCTAACATTATGCACTCAGCCGATTTGTAGTTACTTGCGTCGCCTTTTATATATATATATATAGTTTAGTTATTGGGCCAGCACCCCCCCCACCCTCCCTATTGAGGGGTTTTGGTCTCTACTCCCTCGGAAATAACAGTTGAGGACCCCCTCTGATTTTAAAGATCAAAGTGCTGACACATACCCCCCTTCAGAAAAAACAAAAAGATCAAAGTTACCAACATGGCTACTCCTTCAGAAATTACTGCTAAAGGCCCCCTCCCTCCCCCTAGGATTTCCTTGACCCTCAATAGGGGGGGAGGGGGTGCTGATATAAAATGGAATGGCCCATTGCAGTTAATTCTTATATAATTTGTAGGTAATGACATCTACAGTATATGCCAATAAATTGTTGTTGTTGTTAATTGTTCTCCACTCTGTTTGAATGCCGAGCAGTTTGATATTGAGTCCCAACATGTTTGATTCCTTATGTTAGGACCAATTGTAAACAAAACCACACAACAGGAGGGTGATCAAACTGGATTTTATATTCTAACACTATCTTAAAGTTCCTTACTGCTGCTAATGTAATATAATTGAATATAATATGATATGATATAATATATTATATTGTATGGTATGATATAAACTATTTAATGTAATATAATATATAATCTCAAGTCAGCAGTGTTTTTGAGTCCAACTGTGTACAGATTTAACATTAATTACAAAAGCTGTGGAGCAATCCTTCCGTCCTTTACACTTTGCTCAATAAATTTCATGATTGGGTCTCCACAGACACAGCACTTAGCATCCTCAGGACATGCCTTTAACAGACCACAATAGCAATAAGATGGATCATTGAATACCCTCTCTGGGATGTAGGCTACATTTTTGCATGCAGCTTCTGGCTGCTGAAAACCTTGCTGAGGTAGCCAAATCAGCATCACATATTCATGTCTAAATATTTCAACCCATCTGTTTTGATATGTTGTATTTTCACCTAATTTTTTAAGAAAAATATGCTTCGCTTCTCGTCCTTCCATGGTTACCAACCCCAACCCCTGGCCATACTTTTCAAGCACTTGACGACAATGAGCCGGGACAATGTGACCCAATGTCCAGGCAGTAGGATTTACAGAACTTGGCAACAACAATGAATTTACTTTAAAATACTCATGACAGGCAATAGAAAGCTGATCAATGTGGTCTGATGTTATCTCAAATCTACTAAAGAGAGAAACACAGTCCCTTAGCCTCACACCTAAATAAGCTAAAGCAAGAACTGTTTGACGTTCTTTACTGGAGTCTTTTTCACACCTTAGCCACTTGATTAGTCTCATGAAGTTATGACAAAAACAGCGGGAATCTTTTCCGGTAAATCTATAATGCCAATCAGCTCCAGACCCTTGAGTTTCATTAAACCATTGTTTGGTCTTGTTTGCAAGGCGCCTGGCTTTTACTTCTGTTTGTAAAGCTGTAATTACTTGTGCAAAAGGGCTATCAGCTGGAACCTCTGAAAACTTTTTACAATCAGCTGGCAGCTTAGATTTTCTTATAGCTTCTGTCAAAACTGCTTTAAAGAAGTACTGCCAAGCATTGTTCTTTAGATGAAGGGGTTCCACATGAGCTTTGTCAATATAAGAACCTAAGAGAGGCAAAAATTCCTGTCTACTACTTTGCTTGGCAATATAATCAGTAATTTTAGATCTCTTTGTCTTTTCAGAAATTTTTTCTAGTGCTACTCTTTTCTTAACTCTTTCATTCCCAGGCTCCCGGGGGTGGATTTTAAGGATACAAGAGGACCAACAAATAAATGTTTCTAAGTTGTTTAATGGTCAACATACTACCATAAATGAGATATCAAATGAAACTTTAGACATTTCTTTTTAAGAATATATCATTTAATACAGTGTCATATAGTCACAGCTTCTAATAAAATATTAATAAACTTAATAAAAAATATATTTTAATATAAAAAATTAACATTTTTCAATTTACAAAGCCTGTAGCAAGACCCAAATGTTTAAAATGCAAGGTAAAATTGTCTACAAAATTAATTCTATCTCCAGTACTCTACTTTAGAATGATAATCACCCCAACAGTTGTGATCCTTCTGGATGCACAGGAAAACATTACACACCCTGCAAAATATGCTTGGGCGTGGCACATATGGAACTGGGGGTGACCTATCCTTGGGAACATCTTTGAAGTCATTTTTATGAGATAGTCTTATTTTTTTGCTGCAAACAGCACAATTTCCCCTAGTTGCAAGCATTTCTGGCATATGTGCACCCACATTTTGGAGTCGTAACTCCTCATTTCGTGGCGCATTTGGGGTCTTTGGTTGGGTACGGGAATTCCCTATCAGACCCTCGGCCAACTCATACCTGAAGTCCAAAGCAACCCTCCTAGGTCTGTTTGTTCCCTCCCTTTCATGGCATTCAATGACAAAGGCATTGTGAATGGCCACCTCTACCTCATGGAAAAGAACACGACGGTACCACTTCACTGTTTTCCTGATACAAGTGTAATACCTTAGCATTTGATCAGCTTGATCAACCCCACCCATGCAATTATTATAATCCTTCAACAAGGGTGGGCAAGGGACATCTCCACTTTCCCCTCCCTCTCCCGCCCCTCTTCGCCGAACAACCCTTGCCTCAGCATTTGCCCGACGTGGAAATTCAGGGGGGTGAATGGTAGACAAAAAATAAACAGCTTTGCTGTCTAGCCACCCAACAGCAAGAAGTGGACCACACATCCGCCATTGATATGTGCCCCTGGCCAAGCCCCTGGTCCCTTCAAATAATATTTCATTCGGAAAATTCTTCCTCGATCCCTTGATGGTCCCACAAGCATAAATACTGTTTTCAAATAAATACTGATAAAGATCCACGCTTGTGTAAAAATTATCAGTATATAAATGATGGCCAAAACCCTCCAATCCAGTGCACAATTCCTTTACCACCCTAGTTGCTAGTCCCACCTCTGCCCTTTCCCCTGGATTTCTCCCTATATACAATTGCTGCCTATAAATATATGTACTTTCTGAATCTGCCAAGACCCAGACTTTGATGCCAAAACGGATTGGCTTACTTGCAATAAACTGGCGGAAGGACAAACGCCCCTCCAAGGAATCATACATTCATCAATAGATATGTTCTTATGGAGATTATAAGCTTTTTTCAAAGTTAGGAAAAAGCAGTTCCAATAGTGGCTTTATTTTGTGTAACTTATCGTATCCTGGTTGTCCAACAGGAACAATAGCAGCATCATCAGAGACATGCAAATAGCGCAAAATCTGGAAAAGCGATTCCTGGGCATGACTTGACCAAAGGCAGGAACATTAGTAAGCCATTTCTGCTGCCAGTACATTTTAGCCTCAGGCAATTTCACAATTCCCATGGCAATGTTTAGTCCAAAGAATGCCTTCAGTTCTTCCAGGGTCACATCTTTCCAGGCCCCACCATCAGTACCAGCAGCCCTCTTCCTTTGTGCATTCAGGTTTGTCATTGTCAATAACAAATTCCACACATGGTGGTCAAAAAACAGTTCAAAGTACTCAAGAGCACTTGCCTGCCTCCTCTCACCTCGTCTTGTTGGCCCAACAGCACTTGTAAACTGTTTTAAATTTCTCCTGCTGTTTTCCTCTAACCAAACATATTGTTGGCCGCCATCTTGGATTCTGGCTCCTCGGTTTCCTCCTCTCCTCCCTCTGGCTCTCACCGCTCCTTGGCCTCTTCTTCGACCCACGTGCTCTGCCAATGGCTTCTCGAAGCTGTCGAGACCTGTCTTGTCGCTGTTCTCTCACATATTCACGACGATCTACCTCACTTTCACTCGAAGACTCGCATTCTTCATCCGATAAAGAAGGACTGTCGCCAGAATTATCCTCAATTCCCACTGAATTCTCAGGAAAAACGGCCACAACTTCCTCATCTTCGATCTCTGACTCAGACGAGTCATAAG